CAGTGTTCACAGCCAGGTTGGCTGAGCCTTGAGCAACCTGCTCTGGTGGGAGGTGTCCCTGCCCAGGGCAGGGGATTGAGGCTGGGTGATCTCTAAGCTCTATCCCAGCTCCTAAAACTCTCTGATTCTCTGATTTTTAGGGCACAGAAGGCTGCAGAGCACTGGGTACCAGGAGAAGCCCTGAAGTGGCACCAAAGAGGGGAAGTGAGGCTAAGCCACCAGCCAGGACAAACACTGCAGGACCAATGTCATGGGTATGGAGTCTGTGTGGCCAGGCTGGGGCAGTGGCCAGGGGCAGGAAGGGAACAATGTTTGCTGCGGGCAGGAAGCCTTTGACACCCCCAAGCTCAAGGAGTGGCTGCAAAGTGCTCACATCCTGCAGCTCATGCAAGAGGCAAACCACATGCTGACACCAGCACACTCGGGAGGTGCTGAGCACCACAGCCCCTCCACCCACGCCCCAGCTCAGTGGCACTGGGCAGGGGGAGAGCACCCAGGGACTCCCACCCACTGCACCCACCTGCACGGAGAGCAGCCCCTCGTCGTCGGGGAGGATGCGATAGGTGTGGACATGGCGCTGGAACCTGGGAGAGAGTGGGTGAGGATCTCCCACTGTGTGCCCCATGGCACTGTGGGCATGTGGCAGCATTGGGGACCCAGCCCTGAGACAGGCACCTCATTCCCTCTGCAGAGAGAGGCACTGACTGCTCAGCTCTGGGAATGAAGGCGTCAGACTCAGCTCGGGATCTGTGCCTATTTGCAGGGCAGGATGTGCAGTGTACCCATGTCCCCCATGGGCATGGCCATGACTCTCCAGCATCCACTGGGGCACCCACAGCCCCATGGCACTGAGGGTATTTGGCCAGGCACAGCCTGTCGAGGTGCTCCTCATGGCTGTGACATCCTGGTTGTACTCACTGAGGTCACTGCACATCCCTCCCTGTGCCACCACCCTGTACCTCAAGTCACCAACTCAGTCCCCTCACTCCCCACACCCCTCAGCACCTTCTGCTGGCAATTTGTGTCCCACCCTGGGAGACCAGGGTAGGAAAGGGGTGGCATCCTGCCAAACCCACGGTACACACGTGATGCTTGCAGGCAGGAAGGTGAAAGCAGCAGGAAGGTGAAAGCAGCATGAAGGTGCAGGCAGCCCCAGCAACAAGTAGAACCCTCAGGGGCTGCACCCCTGGTTGCAGGTGTGGGGATAGCAAGAGGCCTCACGAGTGTTGGGGGATGCAGCTCTGACATCCCAGAGGTGTTCACCGTGGGTGGCAGGGTTTGAGTGCAGCCACGTTGGAGGGTGGAGGGAGAGCA